CCAAGCTAGACCTGACTTAATGAACTCAAACCTATCTTGGGTCTATGTCTTAGCCCTAACCAAATTAAGACTGGATTCAGGTCTAGCCTAACTTGGGCTAACCAAAATCAACTTTAATCGAACCTGGGTCAACTCGACCTAACTCAGGTTAACCCAAACCAACTTTAACCTCAACCTGGGTTAGCCTGACCAAAATCGGGTCGACCTAAACCAACTTAAAACAACCTTGGGTCAACCCGACCTAACTCGGGTTAATCTGAACCGAACTGAACCTAACTCGGGTTAACCAAAATCAACTTAAATTCAACCTGGGTCAACCCGAACTAACTAAGGTTAACCCAAATCAACTTTAACAACCTCGGGTCATCCCGACCTAACTCGGGTTAAGCTGAATCGAATCTGGGTCAACCCGACCTAACTTGGGTTAACCCAAATCAATTTAAAACAAACCCGGTTACCCCAACCTAACTCGGGATAACCCAAACTGACTTGAATCGATTTTGGGTTAACCCAACTTAGCCCAAATTAAATTCAAGTGACCTAAGTTAAGGAGCGTTTGACTTCTCATAAGAAAATAAAAAACATACTTAACACATTCTAGAGATAATATGGGATGGAGTGCAAAATAAATAAAATAAATATTACATAAAATCTCTTCGAAAAATCACTAAAAGTTAAACTTCAACCATAAAATGCAACCTGATTTGAGAAGGAATTTCGGAGGAGGCAAACCATGAGTGCTAACGAAATTCCTTCCGGTTACTTGTGACTAATCAAACCGCAAATCCAATGACCTCAGGAGGATGGAAACATGGGAATTTGACCGGGTCTTTCCCAAAATCAAGTATCAAAATGAAAATCACAAAAATATTAATCGATTTAGAAGTTTTAAACAACCTAAAATTTTCAACACCTAAAATACGAAAAAGCCATTAAAAATTAAATGAAACCTTAATGAGTAAACATCACCAAACACAACTTTAACCCCGCCACTCGGGTCTACAAGAATCTCTTGGACGACGCAACTCATGGTTGCTGACAGAAATCTTCTGGTCGGAGCTAGCTTGACCGCCTCTTCGGACTAAGTAGATCAGAGAAACTGACAACCTCGGGTAAAATAAATAATAACTAAACGGAATTATGCTAACTTTTTTTTTGTAAAGCTGTTGAAGACAAAAAGATAGGATGCCATCTTAGATTTTTTGTACATCTTTTTAGGGTGGGCTAACTCTGTTTTGCAGGGATAAGATATCATGATGCCTTAAATTTACTTTGCATGTTTTCTAGGGCAGCTATAGAGAGGTTTGATGGAGAAGTTCAGAGATAATAAGCATGATCTACATTAAATTTTTATTGATTTAGAAAAAAAGATTATGATAAGGTTCCAAGAGTTATCCTTTGGAGAGTTCTGAGAAGAAAGGTGTTGATATGACTTATATTCAAGTCATTAAAGATATGTATACTAGAGCTATTACATGCGTTTGAACTGAAGGAGGATTGACCAAATATTTTTCTATTTCTGTTGGATTACGTCAGGGATCGGCTTTAAGCCCATATCTTTTTGCTTTAGTTATGGATGGTCTTACTAGACATTTATAGGAGGATGTACCTTGGTGTATGCTTTTTGCTGATGATATCCTTCTCGTGGCTAAGACGAGAGAAAAAGCTCAGGGAAAACTTGAATTATGGAGGTCTACATTAGAGTCTAAAGGCCTTCATTTGAGTGGAACTAAAAATGAATATATGGAATGTAATTTTAGTAGTTATGGAGGTCTAAGCATAAAAAACCATGTTACTCGGTCATGTTAGTGCATCAAAATTTGTGCATGCGCATTAAAATGTATGCACACTAATAAATTTTAAATCCACATGTGCTCTCACCACTATGCTTGCTATTTAAATTCTAGGTCTAAGAATATTACACAAGTTAAATATATACTGAAGTTAATTTATAGTTTGCCTGGAAAAATGTATGAGTAGTCTTAAACTTTACTTCAAAATTATCACATCATAAAGAGCATTCATATTATCAAAATTGAATGCACACATGTTCTGACCAATATGCTCAATGCTAGAGCGTTTGGCTTGAAAATGCTTCGTGTAAAGTAAAATATAATTTTCCTCAAAATGCATACAAGTCGTCCTATTTTTGTAAAAATATCTCTGTTTCAAAACATTAATTCAAAATTATTTGATTATGCTCTCGAACTGGCCTCTTTTCTTATAGGGCATGGTCATAAGTTCTTGCTTGGCTAGTTCGATTATGGTCTTAATAAGTAATGACATAGTTTAAATTGATCTAACTCTGTGAATAGATTGGCATAGATAAAATTGATCTAAAATTGCTTTGTAATCGCATAATCAAACTAGCGTTGCAACAAGGAAAACTCAATGAGTTCAAGATTATTTCATATAAGTTTATTTTACACTAAAATGTCTAAATAATTATATCAAGGATCATGCTTGATTTTCTGATACCAAAATGACCCTTTAGAACTTTATGAATTAGCCTTATTTTTATACAGTCAGGTAGAATTTCAAAGTAGAAAATTCTAAGACTTGTAGCTTTTCTTGCTGATGCCCACCATCCATCATCAACCAACACTAATGCCACCCGTCGACATTAACAATGCCTGCCATACATTGTTTTATTGTTGACTACAATTAGATTTTGCCATCGATTGTCGTTAGTGTTGAGTAACATTGATGTCTACTATCCATTGTCATCGACTAATGAACAACACTGAGGTCCATCTATTATCAATTGATGCCAAACCTATTTTCTTTCTTTGTAATCCCTTTTTCTTTGGTGATAGATAAGGTTGAAAGGTTGTAACTTTTTATCATATATGGTGAAATTATTTTAGTTGAGCTAGACCATGTGATTTTTCCTTTTTAAGAATTTTTACTTCCAAAATCTTGGGTATCTTATGTGCTGCATCCTACTTATCTTTGTGTACTGAATATTCGTGTAATGCTAAGAAAATAATTTTGCTCTATGCCGCCATGATTTTACTGAAGCACAGTACAGGTGAACATAACTTGGATACTAAAGGGCTAATAAGATATATCCTTGCTCTACAAGTGTCGAGTAAGAATAATCAACAATCAAGTTAACTGTCCTTTTTGGTCTTGCGTACATCTCCTTTACTTATAATACATATTAATTACAATACAACAACAAAGAAGCCTTAATCCCACTACGTGGGGTCGGCTACATGAATCCTTTTTCTCCCTTGCGTTCTATTAGTGTCATATTTTCATTTAGTTCTAGTAAATTAAGATCATTTTTTATACAATAAGCCCAAGTCTTCCTAGGTCTACCTCTGCCTTTCTTAACACAAGTCGAATCTAAAACATCTACTCTCCTAATCGGATCATCAGATGATCAACGTTTAATGTGACCAAACCATCTAAGACGACTTTCTTATAATACATATTACTAACAATACAAAAATATTTTTTTTTTGTTATTTTTTGGTATTTTATTCTATCTGTTTGTATCTTCTTTTATTATACAAAATTTGAATTAATTTTATGACAATTATTAATGTAAAATGGCTTTATAAATTTATGTAAAAGGCATGATTCTGTAGATTTAAATACAAATGAAAGAAATTATGTCAAAGTTACATTTGTCCATAAATTTTTTTTAAAAAAAGATGAATAGACTATAATAATTACCTCTTTTAATTTCAATGCTGCTCTCTTTGAAATAATTTGAAAGAATTTTGTTAGTTTCAATATCTCTTTGATGACTAATGTTCTTTTGCTTCATTTTGAAGTGAAAAGACTTCTCCTGGCCCTTCTATTTTTTCACTTTCTCTCGCTTTAACATTTTTTTTACTTTATATAAGAAGCATACTTCATGCCTTTTGTTATATATAAGAAGCTAACCTCATGCATGGAACAAAAACAAGAGTTCTTTATGTAATGTAGCACTTAAAATAAGTTATAATATTTTGTCCTCTTCAATTTTCTTAAGAAGAATTTTATATAGGATTTCTAATGATTTAATCATGATCTGAACTAACCTAGTGTTAGCCCAAAGTTATTTGATCTTTATCTTGAGCAGAGTCAATTATGGTTGTTAAGATTGGTATTATTTTCTAAGGGATTTTCAATCCTTTTTACTTCTTTTTTTTATGGTGACAATTTTCAAACTTTGAGTCTAATTTAGAATCATAAAATGATAAATTATTACGTATTTATGATTATACAATAAATAATAAATAAATTGAATTCTATTTAAATTGTTTTTAATATTAATTGGTTGAAGCTTTTATTAATATTTAAATATTTTTATCTATTTTAGATTATAACATTTGAAAATATCTTCATAATTGAAATATGTTATTTTTAAGATTAATCTAGAGTTTTTAAATTAGAAGAGAAATATATTTTTAAATTGATTATCTATGTTGAGTAAAGAAAAGCACATAATATGTAATATTAATTATGTTAAACTGATTAAATAACTATGAGAACTTCATTATGAATTTGAGCTCTTGCCTTATATCAAAATTTATCTTTATTAATCTCTTTAATATTTGTAATTAATTATGAAAATTTCGATAAAGTTTCAATAATCAAGAAATAGGATTTTTTCTTCAAATTAATTACTCATATGAATAAATATTCAAATGCAATATTAAAAGAGTAGTTGATACATAAATTAAATTAGATAATAATTGGTATGATACATGCAATATATAAATTAAATTAATTGATTCTTACACCACGGGTCTTCACATTGAGTAGAACTGAGAAAATGTTTGGTGAAATGTTGCTTATTTTGCTACCTTTTAAAATTTTCTTTTTACACTGAGTTGCATTCTAATGATGCCTCCAATGAGTCAAAAAATGTGATTCCCTTTTATATTCTTCTACAAATGATTCTTACTTTGCAGTATCTCTTGACTTTGCTATATGGATTTTTACTTGTGATTGATCGGAAAGTTATATTGATTTTTTCACATTTTTTTGGCTTGTTAATCCAGACGTATATGCACGATATAGAGCTGTTGTGAAATTGAAGTTCAAGATGCCAAAGTGGCTTTGTTGTTCATGTAAGGTGGATGAGTCTGATGGCCTGCATTTCAATGAATCCTTGAGGAGTCCAAAGCCCTATATGGATTATAGGACTGGTTTGTTTTTTGTTCTATCATGATCATTCCTTTAAATTGGTTATAGCTGTAATTCATGCTACAAGCTTCCAAGTAACACTTTTAAATGAATTTACTTTAAGCTTGCAAGTTTGTCCTTTTTTTTTCTCCAAATAAATTAGGGCATGCCAATTTCTTTTATTTTTTTTTACGTCTTTAAATCTTCATCCTTGATTTTCTTCTTAATTATTACAACAGAATGAAACTTTTATGTGCTCTGTTTGAAGAATAGATGGTGACATGGACAGTATTCTTATATACATGCCAATCTTGAAACTTCTTTAGTTTAATTTTTTGAAATCTCCTTCTAACTATTCCCATCATTAAGGATTATCTGTACTCTTTGCATTAAGCATGACTTTTTCATTGATTTTACATTCAAGTTTTAACTACTATGATTCTCTGGTATGTGTCTAATTCTTGTGATTTATTTTACTTGGCCATGAAGATGCTATCATTATTTCTTTTATCTGAATTATTTATAATTGAGTTAAAATCTTGTAGAAATGAGCTAAATATAGGTTGCAAAAATGCGGGAAGGGTTATTGGTCTCAAAAAACTTGTCGATGTTAGATCTATTAGTATGAATTTTAATGGGACTTGTATATGTTGTATGAGGGTTTTTGGGTGCTCAATTCTGAGATCACAATTTAATCTGATACGGTGTGGAAATTCTTAGATGGTTGATGTATTTCTTTAGGAAAATTGGTTTCTCTTTCAGTACTCTTTAATTATGGGTTGGAATTATTCTAAAACTGTTATATTTTTGGAATGATTTTTCCATGAACAAACAAACTGTCCAAAATAAGTTTTGAATGGGCCAGGTTTGGTTCACTATTGATTTAACCTGAATGCAAACTGATTTATTAAAAGTGAAACACATAAGTTCACGATCTCTTTATGCCCTTGCTTTCATCTGCTTTTGTCGTTCTTTATGGTTTGACATCATCATCTGTTGCTTAGTCATCAATATTTACTTCTTGCTCAACTATCACTAAACAACATGTCGTCTTCCAACAGAAACTTTTGTCTTACATTAGCAATGGGGGATGTTAGATCTGATTGGGCCAACGAAAACAAAGAGCAGTAATCAGATTATGTGGAATTAAGAAGGCTTCCAAATTTGATGGCACGGTGAAGAAAATGTAGAAATTTTCTGTTCTTATGAATCGTTTAGCGGTAGTGCGAGCAGTGATGTGTCGGTAGTAGTGAGACAATGCTATGAGTAACGTCAATAGAAATAAATGCTCGTAAAAAAACTTGTTCTATTCATTAATCACATGGGCTTATATAGGGCCTTACAATATTTTACAAATAAATTCCTAGACTTCTTTTATATTTCCTATTTACAATTAGGACTCTAAACTAGATACAAATATCAACACTTCCCCTCAAGATGGGCCAAAGGCATCCACAAAGCTCATCTTGTCACATCACTTAGACAAATCTAATGAGTCAAGTCCTTTTGTGAGCCAATCAACCACTTGCTTTTTAGTGGCTACATGACGTAGGTCCAGTAGTCTGTTATTTAGTTTTTCCTTGATGAAGAACCTATCAATCTCCACATGTTTGATTTTATCGTGCTGCACCGGATTGTTGGCAATGTTGATTGCTAAATTGTTGCCGCACCACAACTTCATTTGAGCTCCTTGGTCTACCTTGAGGTCTACTAATAAGGTTCTCAGCCACATCATCTCGACACTTTTTAAGGCCATGACCCTGTATTCTGCCTTTGTTGTTGACCTTGCTAGTACTGACTGTTTCTTACTCTTCCAAGAGACCAAGTTGCTCCTTACAATCATGTAGTATCCAGATGTGGACCTCCTATTGTCAATACAACTCGCCCAGTCAGAGTCACAATAGCCCTCAATCCCTAGTTGTCCATTCTTCCTGAAGATTAACTCCTTCACTCATGTACTTTTCAAGTACCTCAGAATCCGATACACAACATCCATGTATCCCTTCCTCCGATTATGCTTGCATTGACTCACCATTCTTACTGCAAATGATATGTCGGGACGAGTGTGACTTCTATAGATGAGTCGACCTACCTACTTTGGGTGCCTCTCTCAATAAACTGGATCTCCTGCCTTTGCACTCAATTTTCCCTTCTGATCATTTGGTGAAACTGCAAGGTTGCATCCTGACATGCTTGTCAAGTCTAGCACATACTTCCTCTGAGATAGGACAATTCTCTCTACTCCACGAGCAGCCTCAATCTCAAGGAAGTATCTTAATTGTCTTAGGAAGTATCTTAGGGTCAACTAACATTTTTTTTTATTTCTTCATGCAATTATGTTTCTGTGTTGCTCTTTAAAACGTGCCTTCTGACATTGGTATTTTAGAAAGTAGGGAAATATTTGCAGAAATCAACTAAATAAATTTATTTGGACTAATGTTTTTCTTATTTCAGCACAACCAATGATGCATTTTGAAGACCTTTGTAAGGGAAAATCTTGTGGAGTTGGTAGAGAGCTTTCACTCCGACTAGAAGACTCGATTTCAAAGCACAGTCTAACAACTAATTTCTAATTTAGTTAACATTAAGGCTCAAGGAAGATGCCTTCACTTAATTTTTGCTTCCTTAATGTTGACAATCATAATAATAATAATAATTATTATTACTACTATTATTTCTGTTATTACTATAAATATTATTGCTACCATTTTCGTTACTATTACTATTACTATTATTATTATTATTATTATTATCATTATTATTATTATTATTTTTGTTATCTCCTTTTTTATTTCATTTTGATTTTTTTTGTCACTCTTCTAGTGATTTATCTGCATCAACAACACCTTCCCCTTTATAGAACTCTGGTTCATATTTTCTTTTATAAAAATCTTTGATAATCGATAAAGTAAATTCATTTTGCATCATTAGTTAACTGTTTTCTATAATCAGATCAGTTTGTTTTGTTGTTTGACTTTTTTAGGCCTGCAAAAAGGTTCAAAGTTTTCTGCTGTAGCTAAAAATGAACCACAAAAAATGCCGTCCTCTATTGATGTGCCTGCATTGTCTTTTAATGAACTGAAGGAGAAGACCGACAATTTTGGGTCAAAAGCTTTTGTTGGGGAGGGTTCTTATGGAAGGGTATATTTTGCCATTTTAAATGGTAAACGAGTGGCTATAAAAAAGCTTGATGTCTCTCAAGAGCCTGAGTCCAATACAGAGTTTTTAACTCAGGTACGGCATTCTTGATAATCTATTCTTGTTTTTATGCTACTTGGAACCCATTTTTTTTACCTTTTTTTAAACTTTTTTATCAATTTAATTTTCTTAAATACTTGAAATTTTGAGCATTAACTGTACAAAACCAGGTTGCAAAGGTTTCAAAATTGAGGCACGAGAATTTTGTAGAATTGCTGGGTTATTGTCTGGAGGGGAATCTTCGTTTATTATGCTATGAGTTTGCAACCATGGGTTCATTGCATGATGTTCTGCATGGTATATATGATGTTTTTGTTTTTATTACCAATGATTTTTATTTATTACATTAAAATAGATGTCTTTATCTTAGTAAATTTGTTTCTCTTCTGGAAAATCAGGCAGAAAAGGAGTGCAAGGTGCACGACCTGGTCTTGTCCTTGATTGGATGCAGCGTGTGAGGATTGCCATTGACACAGCGAAGGGGCTAGAGTTTCTCCACGAGAAGGTTCAGCCTTCAATAATACATAGAGATATCCGGTCAAGCAACATTCTTTTATTTGAGCACTTCAAAGCAAAAATTGCAGATTTCAATCTTTCAAATCAAGCCCCTGATATGGCTGCTCGTCTTCATTCTACCCGTGTGCTAGGAACCTTTGGTTATCATGCTCCAGAGTAATTACTTCTGAAACTCTATGCAAACGCTATTTTCATAGATATATCCACTCTATATATATATATATATATATGTAGATAGATAGATAGATAGATGGATAGATATAAAGTTGGTTTGTTCTGCCGTTTAGTTTCAAGTGATGCAAAGTCACATATAAGTTTGAACCTTAAATTATTTCCTGTTAGCAAAACTTAAACTTGTTCTTTGGTTTCTCTTGAAGGTAATACTCCTAAATTTGTCCTTGATGCTGCTAAATAAGTGCACAAAGCACCAACATCCTATCTATGAAGCATTAGCATAGTACGAAACATCAGGATACAAAACGGACGAACACTGGAACATGGAAAGAGTAGGATATATATATGCATATGCATATTATAAATATTCATTTGGAGATTATATATTGATCATCATAAAATATCTTCCTTTGAAAAAAAGTCATCGCACTTTATGTAATCATTGAGTTTTAAATAATAACACCAAGATTAAAAAAAAGGAGAAATTTTAAAATAACAGCAAGGTTTTGATATAATTGTCAGATAGTTTAGCCTATATGAGTCACATGCCCATTCAAATCAAATGGAATAGAGAGAGCGAGAGATTGAGAGAAAATAAAGAAGGGGAAGCATTGTGCCTACCATAGCTGATCTGTAGAGAAGGAAGAAGGATGACAAAGAAAGGAAGGAAAGGAAGAAGGAGAGGAGTTGCATGCTTCTCATACTTGGGATTCGACGCCCGTGCAAAGAAGAAACTGAGCGGCATCGAGGAAGAAAGGTGGAACTCTAGTGTGCATCCTCTTTGCAAAGGAAGAGGGGAAGAAGCGATGGAAGAGGAGTAAGAAGAGAAGGTGGCTATCGAATCCTAGTCGAAAGAAGATCTCCTCTCATGTAATGTAGTAGAGTTGAGTCGAGCTTAAAGGAATAGGGAAGGGGAGGCATCTCATTTGTGTGCAGGAAAGGAGGGGCTGCTCGAGGTGCGGTTGAAAGATTTATTAAGGTGAGTTAGGGTTTAAGTTTTAAAATTAATTAATTATGTTATGATGTTAATATTAAAATTTTATGAATTAAAATTTATATGATAAATTGAAGTTTTTGTGAGAAAGACTATCGATTTGAGCAAATTTTGGTAAGGTAAGAGTTTGGGTGCTTTAACTATATTAGATATTTTGTTTAATTCAATAAATGTTATTACGCAAGACTTAATGAATAAATAAGGAATTGAAGACTGATAAATCCTTGGAATTTGAGGAAGAAAATGAAAATTTTTGGAGTAAAAAATAAATTTTAGTGCTTTAATCACAAATTCTTACATAATTAAATTCCTATTGATCATTAAATTTTAATTTAGGAAAGTTATGAGTTTTAATATAGTGTGTTGATTGAAAGATTTGGAGAGATTGTATGGAGATTGTGTGAGCGAGGATTAATATAGAGGGAGTTTGAAAGGTGCAACTAGTGTTAATTAAAGAATAAGAAAGGGGAATTCATTTGAAAGAGAAAGACATTCAAGGGTCCAGTTGAGTAATGGATTTTTTATTTATACTAAATTGATGATTTATTTAAAAAAGACTTGCATTATTGTCTTAAAAACATCAGCTTCTCTTATTATATGCATATTAAAATTTAAAGGATTTTTGAAGTGAAAATAAATCAAATAAATAAGGGTAAATTGTTGTTCAATGACTTTAAATGGATATAATACAAATGAAATGAACTATAAAGGATTAAGTTAATTAGGATTTACTCCCTTATGGTATTTGTTGGGGACGTTTTGTATCTGTGCACAAAAAATGAAATAAAAATGGTAAAGGCGTACTTTTGGATGCAAAATTTTGTAGGATACTTTCGAGTATAATAGTGATCCTGACGTGACTTCTTAAAAATGTAAAACTTAAATTAAAATAGAAAGGATTGATTTAAATTAAAAGTTTACAGTTTGTTTAATTAATGAATTACATTTTTTTGGGGCATTCATGGATAGCATTTGTATATTAATTTAATACACAATAAGTTTGTAATTGTTCATTAAGTAGGTGTAAACTTACTATTCAAAGTACTTATCCCTTTTCGGCAAAGCTGTAAATCGATATGTCTCACAGAAGAGAGTTAGTTTACACGATACTGACTACTGATAATAGGTAGTAGCTTGTTTGTTATGATTCTAGCTTTTTTATACTGTTTATATCTGAGTAATGATACTATTGTTGGTTGGATTTGTGATATTGTTTTACTTTCAAACTATGTTATTTCTTTGATTAACTTTGATTATTGTTTAATGTACTTTGTGGTTTTTTAGTAACCCTTTTTATTATTGGAAGCTATGATGGTTTATTGTATATAAGAAAAAAGAAAGGTTAATACCGTCCGACCATAGTTTCTTACTTGGTTACTTCTAAAGTATCAAGTCGGGTCATAATAAAAGTGGTATCAAAGAATTTAAGTTTGAATTCTGATAAAAAAGAACAATTTGGTTGATTAAATTAATTGGGAGACAATATAAATGAATGTCTAATTGTATTTTTCGATATATTATTTCATAAATATGGATAATTAAGGGCAATTTAGACAAAGTAACACTTTGACTAATATACCTCCAAATATCTCAGTGAACTCAAGTGTTTGTACTGAGATAATGACTATATTGACTCAGTTGATTGGGAACTCTCAGTCTCAGGCCAGTTCTAGTATGGGAGGCCAAATGGACAAATATTCTATTTCAAAGTATGAGGCCCTCTCTCTTTTCTAGAGGAGGAAGTCTAGTGGAGGTCGAGAACTGGCTAATGAGAGTGAAGAAGATTATAGATGGATTGTTTTGTCCATCAGAGAGTAGGGTTACCGTTGCCACTTTTTGCTTTCGAGGGAGAAGCTGAGAGTTGACGACAATGATAGTTGTAGGAGAAGTTTGGAGGTAGACCAATCACTTGGTGCAGTGGAAGGAGTTTGTGGAAACCTTTAGAGATTAGTTCATACCACAGTCAATCAGTAGACATATGTAGAACAAATTTATCAGGCTGGTGCAAGTTAATCGTTCGATCATGTAATATGAGACATAATTCACTATGCTTTGAAGGTATGCATCGAGTTGTTTCCAAAGGTTGAGAAGCATCGTAGATTTTTTTCTGGGTTTTAAGGATATGATAAGACAACCACTGATTTTTTTTTGGACCGAGGATTACTCTTTTTTGGCAGAGAGGGACAAAAGGATTGATCTGGATTTACAGGCTAGCTAGAGGGACCTTCAAAAAATGAGAAATTCAAAGGGATCCAAGTTTTCTCTAGGATCTCAGAGCAGTCAACTCTTCTAGTCAGGAATTAAAAGTGCTAAGAAGGCTAAATCCAATAATGTTGGTAGCCAGAGTAAAGCCAGGAAGTGTGACAAGTGTGGAAGGTTTCATAAGGGTGAGTGTCTTTCTGGATCTACTACATCTTTTTGGTGCCACCAACTATGACACTTGACAAGGATTTGCCTTAGCTTGGGATAGAGCGCTCCAACAGAATCTTGGAGCTTTAATAGGTCGAAGACAACTACATCCATTGGATCAATGCTAAGTTATGGTTAGGCCCACAAAATATTTAGCCTAGAATTTATGCATTGTCACAACAGAAAGTTAAAGATTCCCCTGAAGTTATCAGAGGTATGTTTTTTATTTAAGAAATTTTAAACTAGTGCACATTTAATTATAATAGAATTCTTGTCATATTATTCATAACATTTTGTAAGAACTTAAATGCATTAATATGTCAACCCTAAATGTTCAATGCAATTGGTTTAATATAATATGTATCATAAATCCTCAGAATAAGCTAATAAAAATATTGTTTGATACCGGAGCATCACATTCTCTTATAGCCGAGGAATTGGTTAAAAGTAGTGTACTTGAATAATATCTTAATGTTTGTATTATTATCTATTAGAATATCAAATGATACTTCTATGGAGGTTAATCAATTGTGCAAGGTGAAGCTAATGATTGGTGGAAAGGATTTTGGTGCACCATTGATTGTATTACGCTTGGTGGAGTTTGAGACAATTTTAGGCATGTACTGGTTGTATAAAACATTTGTCACAATTGATTGCAATAAGAAAGCTATCAAAATAAATATACTTCTGAAGACAAAAGTTAAATTTTATGGTAATAAAGGGCTAACTTTGATGATAATCTCATATTTGAAGGCCTTTAAATTATTAAATAGTGGAAGTTAGGATTTTTGGGCCCACATGAATGATAGTACTAAGGAAGTGAAAGTCATTTATTGATATTTCAGTGGTGAAGAAGTATCAAGAAGTTATTGATAAAATCAAACGTAAAATTAACGATTGGAGAAATGTTTTCCTTTCTACTGGGGGCAGGATTTCTTTGCCATCTAGTGTTCTTCAGAGTATTCCACTATACGCTTTGCATGTGTTTAATAAAAAAAAAGTGCTATCAATGTCATAGAGAAGCTATCAATGTCATTGAGAGAATTTTTAATAAATTCGTTTGGGTGGGAAATGGTGCTAAGAGGATTTGGGGCTCTTGGCATAAGGTCTGTAAGCCTAAGAAGGCTGACGGTTTTGACTTCAAAGCCTTGAAACATACAGATGAAATAAATTTTAAAGCTTTGAATCATACGGTGGAAATAAACCTTTGCAAACTTTGGTTTAAATTTAGATTGGGCTCATCTCTATGGGCTTCCTTTATGTATCAAAAATATTGTGCTCAAACTCACCCTTCCTAGGTTTTGTGGAAGGTTGGTGATTCTGGTATCTGAAAAGCAGTTGCTAATGCTAGAACTACTGTTAATGATTTCATGTTTTGGGATATAGGTGACGGAAACATCTCTTTCTGGAATGATAATTGAGGGTTATCTCTCTGAATACTCTCACCCTCTACATACTAACTCCTTATTGGTTTCTGATTTCTTTTTTCAAGATGGCTGAAATTTCTCCAAATTATGTTCTATGGTGGGGGAGGAAAATGCAAAGCATATTATTAATATTCTTATTACCCCTTCATGCAGGGATTTCCCCGTGTGGAAAAGGAACAATTCTCAATCGTTTTGCAAATTAATATATGACACTTTACATTCACACCGCGATTGGTTTTGGAAAAAATGGATTTGGCACAAAATTTTAACTCCCTTTATATCCTTTTTCCTTTGGCGTTCTCTCTTCTTTACAAGATAAAATCAAGCGTAAAATTAACGATTGGAGAAATATTTTCCTTTATACTGTGGGCAGGATTTTTTTGCTATCTAGTGTTCTTCAGAGTATTCCACTATATGTTTTGCAGACGTTTAATCCAAAAAAAAGTGCTATCGATATCATGGAGAGGCTTTTTAATAAATTCCTTTGGATGGGGAATGATGCTAAGAGGATTTGGGGCTCTTCGCATAAGGTCTGTAAGCCTAAGAAGATTGGCGGGATTGGCTTTAAAGCTTTGAAACATATGGTGGAAATAAACCTTTGTAAACTTTGGTTTAAATTTAGATTGGGCTCATCTCTATGAGCTTCTTTTATGCATCATAAATATTGTGGATGGCTGTCAGAAATGTCAGGTGGGCTCCCCCCTCATCGGGTTTTGTTAAAGTTAATGTGGATGGCTGTTAGAATCCTTTTTATGCTGCGGTTGGGGACATTTTTAGAAATTATGAGGGTAGGTGTCTTTGCTATTTCACCTCTTATGTTGCCACTGACAACTCATTAGCCACGGAATGCTGAGGATTTTTTCTGGCTTTAATGATGGCAAGTGTTTTCAATTTTCATACGATTGAAGTGGAAATCGATTCTAAAATGCCGCTGACAACTCATTAACCGATTCAATTTTCATACTTTTGGGAATCTCTCCTCCCCTCTGAGATATAATTTGCACTTTTAAACGTATTTTAGTTTTAATGGCTGCAAGACAATTAGAAGTAAATTGGAAATTCATTCATAGAGAGAGAAACTCCCCTGCTGATTGGTTAGCCAAACATGCAGGGGAGGTCTGTCACGTTGGCATTTATCCTCCTGCTCCACTCAGACGTCTTTTCACTGGGGACAATTTGAATCTGCCATATGTTCGAATTTAAATTTTGGTGCTGCTTGGCTTTACCACTGAGGGCCTTCTTTCTGTATGGTGGTTGGGTTTTGCACTTCTTCCTTTGCGGGATTTTATTTTGTTTGGCAGGTCTCTTCGGTTTGCAGCATGCCTGGTTTTGTCTCACTGTTTTCTGCTCTCATTGTTTCCGCTGGCCTACTGTTGTTTTGGTTTTCTCTGCTATGATCTCCAGATTTCCAAAGGTTTTTGTTACTCGCTGGAGTGCTCTCGAAGAATTACTACTAACTTGAAGACAATTTTTTGTACATTTTCTTTCTCTTTACATGTTAAGCAATACACGAATACAGGTTTACTTAGTTTTGGGTATACTTGTAATTTTTGGTGATTTCTTTTGTGTGAGTTGTACTGTGGGGAGAGGAACCCCTAGGGGTGTGTTCAAATGTATTTTTTGCTTTCAAAGTCGGGGATCCTCCCCTTCCAATTTCTGTACATTTTCTTTGAATTAACGCGTAGGGAGCCACCATCGCTCTTTCCCAAAAAAAAAAAAAGTATCAAGAAGTTCTTCTTAAGGATTTACTCGGACTACCATCAATAAGAGAAATAAATTTTACCATTGAGCTATTGTTAGGATCTGAACCAATATGCAAGGCAACATATAGAATAACAGTAAATGAATTGTAGGTGTTAAAAATCATTTGCAGAAATTGTTAGATAAGAGGTTCATCAGACCTAACACCTCACTTTGGAGAGCTCCAGTGTTATTTGTGAAGAAGAAGGATAAGGGCTTTCTAATTTGCATTGACTACATAAGCTCACATTTAAAAATAAATATCCACTTCCGATGATTGATAACTTGTTTGATCAATTGGAAGGAGCTTTTGTATTTTCAAAGATTGATATGAAGTTAAATTGCTATCAGTTGAGAATTAAAGAGGAAAGTATAGCAATGATAGCTTTCAGAACCAAATATGAACACTATGAATTTGTTGTGTGTCATTTGGGCTGACTAATGCTTTAGTAGTTTTTATGAATTTAATGAATAAAGTATTAAGGCAGTTTTTGTATACAATTATGATTGTATTCATAGATAATATGTTATATTCGAGGGATAAAGCCAGCCATGCAGATCATCTACATGCTATTTTATAGGTTTTGAAGCTGACTAAATTGCTCGCCAAAATTTTTAAATGTGAATTTTGACTTACAAGTGTTGCTTTTCTTGAACATATTATCAGTGGAGAAGACATATATGTGGATCAGAATAAGATCGAAGCAATTGCAGATTGGCCAAAACTGACTAGTGTTTTTTAGGCTTGGACTTTTCTAGGTCTAACTGATTATTATGAGAGGTTTGTAGGAGTTTCTTAGATAGCTATGCGTTTATCCGAGTTAACATAAAAATTAGTAAGGTTTGATTAGACTGATTGTTATGATGAGGCTTTTCAGAAGTTGAAGTCTTGCTTGATGAGTATTTTAGTGTTGACTATTCAATTAGGATCCAATGAGTTTTCAAATTTTTAGTGATGTATCTTTGAAGGGTTTGAGTTGTGCACTTATACAACATGGAAGGGTTATTGCCTATGCTTCAATGCAATTGAAGAATCATGAAAGAAACTATCTTACCCATGAATTGGAGTTAGCTTCAGTTGCATTTGCACTTAAGATTTGGAGACACTTTGTATACGAAGTCAGATGTGAGGTACTTACTTATTACCAGAGTTGAAGTACATCTTTACTTAGAAAAAGTTAAATTTGAGACAGAGGAGATGACTGAAATTTATTAAAAACTTTGACTTGGATATATAGTATTACCCGGGAAAAACAAATGTGGTGACATATGCACTGATTAGGAAGGCATTAGGTAAATTGAACTATTTATTCACTTAGCATAAGTGGTTACTTAAAGATTTGGAGAGATTGAAGCTATTTTTGATTAGTTGTTGTGATAAGCGTATGATTCAATTAAATTGGTTGTCTGCACAGTTCACTTTGTAGGGCAGAATCAAAGATACATGTCCTTCCACCAGGTCTATAAAACTAAAGGGGGAGTCAACTGCTTCCCTTGCTCATCATCTGAAGGGATCCGTCCCATCGTATGACGCTTTTTCATGGGACCTCCCTTTTTCATTAGAAATCCCCCTGCAGGACGATCATTGAGCGAATTCATTGACCCCACTTTGACCACAAGTTCAGAAGTCTTCGCCTTGGGCACTACACGTTTATTGGGTCTTTCGCTCCTAGAAGCTGATTTGCCCTCTTTTTCATCGCTTGATACACCATAGCTCGAAACTCCTCATTGAACTTGACTGACTTGAGAAGCTGTCTGCCCTCCATCGCTTGATACACCTAGAGGCCAGAAGGAAGATAATCCTCACATGAATTGGACTCAACTGCTCTCCTGGAGTCAATCGATAATTGTTTCAGTAATTTAATGTATTGATGCCAGGCCCATAAAGGCCAGGTGGGAGCCAACATATGCTTACAGTCCTATTTAGCCTGGCACTATCTTGTTCTCCCAACCCCATATGGTCAGACTAGCTTTTGTGCTCCCGGTCCCATGTGGCTAGATCCCTTTGTTGGCTTCTGGCAGCTTCCGGACGAATGTTATTTCACACTCCCAGCATGAAATCCATGTATTGACTAACATACCCCCTAAAAAAAAGTTTATGCAATTTTACTGTTCTATACTTTGCTATTGTTTTCTTTGTTCTCCTTTCTCTCCTTCTCGTGGTATAATCCTTAGGCGTGTCTCCCATACAAATTTGGATTCAACAAATAACAATGTTGAGAATTTGATATAAGATTTGTTGGCACATTAGTTTTAAATTCAAAAACTTATATCCTGACAAGGATACTGAACAACCTCCACAACTTCATTGCGTGCTTTAAATTTTAGCATATATTTGATTCTTTTACTAATATAGAACCTTTTGATGTCTTGCTAACTTCTAATCATGAACTTTCTCATTAGATTTGTCTACCTAAATTATCATTTTTATTAAGAATAAACTAGTAAATCTTTTTTTGAGTTGCATGTGACAACTTTCTTCCTTCCTTTGCATGTGACGACTCCCTTCTTCCAACCATCCCCCTCGATGTTTTTCATTCTCCCAACTCTTTGGAAGGTTGTTTTTATCTTCTTTTTAGATGGAAGTTTAAAGGAAAGTTTGTGGTTAATTTTTACTTTTTACTTTTTACTATTTTAAGAATTTGCATCACCCTTTTTTATTAGCATCTACAACCATTTAACTAAGTATTTGTCATTATATTTGAATCTAAGATTATGGGCAAATTATGCGCGTCCTTGAACTATAGAATGTAATTTCTTAGATGATTAAAACTCATAATGAAGTCACTATATGCCATATTGATATGCAGATATGCCATGACTGGACAGCTGACACAGAAAAGCGATGTATATAGCTTTGGTGTTGTTCTTTTGGAGCTTCTGACTGGAAGAAAGCCTGTTGATCATACAATGCCTAGAGGACAACAGAGTCTCGTTACTTGGGTGAGTTAACAAATACTTGTGGACTTCTAGTCTAGTAGTTAGATCAATATAAAACTTTAAACCTCTCCATAACGAACAATGTTCTCAACTTCATGACTGCTTATATGATTTCTTTTTTCTGCCATCCAGGCTACTCCACGATTGAGTGAGGATAAGGTAAACCAATGCATCGATCCAAGATTAACAGGTCAATATCCAACCAAAGGAGTTGCAAAGGTTGTTTTTTAAGCTTTATTGCTTGTTCATCTTATTACTTATTTGCATAAATTACATGGCTTAAGCTTAAGCTTGCTCTACCATCCATTATGAAAGCAAAATTTGATCATATTTATTTTAATTGGCACTACAGCTTGCAGCAGTGGCTGCTCTATGCGTGCAGTATGAAGCTGAGTTCAGGCCAAACATGAGCATTGTTGTAAAGGCACTCTCACCCCTCCTTGTAAATAAGCAGCCTCCTCCACAGCCAGCTCCCGTAACGTCACTTTTGGATATGTGAACCCATTCATACATGGTTTGCTTCTACATTTTCTGCTTTTATCTAAGCAACTTCATTAATTCTAGCCGTAATTTCAATGTAAGAGTTTGCATTTATAAAAGTCACTTGAGCATTTGCTTGGTCCTGCAGGTTTTTTATTATTCTTTGCTTCTTTATAAATGAAACCGGAGATTCCATGTTATGTTGCCGCTTACCGCTTCTCATTTTTTACGAACTCGTATGCTTCTTCGAGGAAATTAATGTCCGAAACAAGTTAATTCTTTATTTGATCATTTTTATGGAAATTGTTTTTCTTTCTATTTGCTGGAGAAGCTAATATAAATACGACTTTTCTGTAAGGATTTCGCCTCATACTGGATTGAAGATATAATGAAATTATTGATTTTTTGTTGTGTTGTCTTTGTATTATTTTTAAAAATTCTATCTGCAATAATTTGAACTGTGTGGGAAGATCATAATGAAAGTCCCTGTGTTCATTTTCTTCTAGTCTCTCGATTATGAAAAAAGTGCCTCCAGTTCAGCTTGCTCATTTTCTTTTTTGGGTTCCTGAATTTTATGTTGATTTCATTTTGCAGAACAAAGCATAGCATCATCATGCTAAGAGTATTATAATGTGATAAATCATTTTGGGAGAACCTGATGGTGTTGTTATTAGGGAGAAGTGTGGTCGGTACTATAATATATAACCTTTTGGTTAACGAAAAGAAGGAAAAGAAGAAGGTAAAGATCAGGTTTTAGGGTATGTGGTGCTTCAAATGGAAAAAAAATATTTTGTGCGAATGAAATCCTTACATGCGGATGAGGGTACTCGGAGGGTACTTGGGGGATATTTGGAGGGTTCCCGGGAGTACTCATCTTATCAGTAGAGATTACACACGTAATATTCTCTCGAAAATGGCTTGAAGAGTGGGATAAGTTTGCTAAAATGCGCTAGTTAATGATGAGCGGGACAAATCATATTTTTAAAATATTTTAATTTTAAATAAACTTTGCATTTTTTGTTTGAATAAATTTTGCGTTAATTTTTATGATCCTTGATCGACTATAAATATATATATATATAT